TTCAACTAGACAAAACGGGTTTTAACAAAGACATTCAGTATAAACTAGTTTCAACTAGACAAAACGGGTTTTAACAAAGACATTCAGTATAAACTAGTTTCAACTAGTTAAAACGCGTTCTAACTAAAAACGGGTTTTGACTGTAACATATATATATATAAAAATATATAAACACATGTGCATTTAAAGATGTAGAATTAAAGTTTGATTGCTTAATTGCAATTTTTTAATTTTTATAAAAAAAATATAAAATTGTATTAATAATAATTGTATTACATTTATAAATTAAAAAATTCATTAACGTAGCACAATTTTCAAAGAACTGTATCAAATTTACTAGTACTGTTTTATTTTAATATATCATATTTGCCATGTTTTTTATACAGTTTTTTCAGAATTTTTCTTTCTGGAAAACATTAGGAATTCCTTGAAAACAAATTCAAAAATTTCCTTTCTGAAAATATATATAAATAAACTTTTTAAAATTATGACATGAAATAATAATTCAAATAGTAATCTTTTAGTTTGGTTTATTAAAGAGTGATTTAATAACTAATTCACAATAATTCATATTGCTATGGTGTAGAAATCTGTATACTTATGTTGATAGTATTTCATTGCAGGATTAAATTTCAAAAAGTTAAAGGTTAATAAGAACTACATCAATTAACACTCTGTATGGCATAGAGTAATATAATGTATTAGAATAAATTAGTCATTTATTTCATCATACACTTTCTGAATCATTAAAATATATTTTGTGATGATACATATGATTAAATGAACTTTTATTTTTAATTCTAATATCTTTATTTTAGTTCTTAATGCTTTGATTTTATAATTTTGCTGTATATATTAGATGGAAAAAGATGATATTAAAGGTAGATCTTCCCGTCCTTCTTCACCTATTGGACAAAATCGTAATGAAAAAAATGATGATAATCAAGATGATAATGTTACTGAACAGGCTAACCATATTATTATTCCAAGTTATGCTGCATGGTTTGATTATAATAGGTATGTATTTATTATTTTTTAAATTTAAATGCGCTGAAAGCTTGTTACTATGTACAAATTTCTATTTACTTCTTATGTACTGTATATTAGTATATCTTAAAATAATGAGAATCCAAAAAATTAATTAATTAATATAAAAAGAGTGTCAATAATAGAAGTCTTATATTATTGATTACAATATGTAAACATTTTTTAATTTATATGTATTTTAAAGTTAAAAATTATGAAGAATAAAAAGTATCAGTAAATATTAAGTCATTGTTTTTAGATAAAATTATAATTTATAATGATTAAGGAATAAGAATTAAATTTTTTAAAATTTTGATAAATGAAATAGATAAAAACAGTGATTGAAACAAATAATGATTATAGTGCAGTATTGATTAAAAAAAATTATATGCACGAAAACTTAATTTCTAATCATATTTTTTGTTATATTTTTTATTTAAATTACATTTTTTTCATAAAATTAGCAACAAATATTCCTATTTATTATAATTGTATCAATATCAAATAAATAAATCAAATTATAGGTTTGAATTTTTAATGGATACAGAAATGAACTAATTAGATATAAAAATTTTAAAATTTTATAAGCATTATTTTACAAATTAGTTGTTAATGATTATTAAATAATAATTTCAAAAATTTTTCAGTATTCATGCTATTGAAAGAAGAGGGTTACCAGAATTTTTTAATGCTAAAAATAAATCTAAGACTCCTGAAGTGTAAGTATTCTATTATTTTATTATAGACTGATTGTATAAAAGTTTACATTGTGCAATGAATTTCTAAATTAAGTATTTTTTTTAAATTTCAATGAAAAATGTTTTGATTGTTGATTGAATATGTACATAATCAGTGTTTCAATGTATATTTAATTGTAAATTTGATTAATCACATTTTGACACTGTGCACAATAATATGTGTTCTGTACAGTGCATCCATACAATGCATCTACAGTACAGAAAATAGCAATGCTAAATTCTGATTTTAATATTAAAAAGTTTTGAAAATAAATATAACTTTTTAAATCAGTATAGTGAATTTTTGATTTTAATAATAATTGATAAGTTCTTTATTGTGGATGAAATTATTAATCATATTTATATGTTTGGACAGATAAATAAAATAACTTTTTTGTTTTGAAATATTAACTTATTTTTAGTATTTACAATACATATTTGTTAAAAATATTTAANTATCTACTGTTTGGCGTTGTTGTCAGCGCCACTCAATATTGGCAAATTTAACATAAATTAGTTTATTTTTTACTATTGCAAAATAATTTTAATAACTGTATTTGTTATTTAACCTTACAAAATCATCTTATTTTATAATGTCTTAGATCAAACCACATTCACAAATAGAGTCTGCGATGTACTGTAAACATTGCCAAATTGTAAACATGTATATTTACAAGTATGTACGTACCGTACATGTATTTGTAAACTTAGATTACTTTTTCTGTACTATATTTAAAACTAAAATTTATTTGTTTTTAAGCTTAAAATAGATTCTTCTTAACCATATATTATTAAAAATGCATTTATAAATAAAATACAGAACTGGGAATGGTTATTTGTGGTTTAGCCTAGTGACAAGTAAATTCTACTTATGTCGCCCCTCCTGGAACCAATTACCGACATAAGGCGAGGTATACCTGTATATAAATTCACAAATTTATGAAGCATTGTATCTAAATGATAAATGTTGAAATAATCTAAATCAGTGATTCCCAAAGTGGGTGCTATTGGTCCCTGTGGATGGTGAGTAAATCTAGGGGGCAAAAGTAAGCAAGTGGGCAGCAGGGGCAGGATACTGAACAGTAACTGTACGCAAAGGTTGGGATCACTGACAGCTTTTTCCTTTTCTCTGTTAAATAGGTAAGAAGAAACATTGCATTTAATGGTTTCCAAATGTGGAGAACAATATATGGTAAGGACACAAAATGCAAGGTTCATAGAAAAGTTTTCCTGAGAATATTTCTGAGCCTTTCTCATACAAGGAAAAATTGGTTGGGGAGTTGGGTATAATTATTTTATGGAACAAAAGGGATTGTGAATCAAAAAAGTTTGGGAATCACTGATCTAAATGAACAACAATCACACAATGTGTGATATAATTAGTTTTTTGAAAATTTATGAACTTTTATAATAATTATTTTTTTTAATGCAGTAAATAATCCTCGAAGTACTAAAGACAATGAATTACAGCCTATTAAAGGGGGAACATTTGTTGATCTTGATGGAAATGATATGGATGAAAAGGTATGAAATGCTTATCTTATATGTATATATGTTACAGTCAAAACCCGTTTTTAGTTAGAACGCGTTTTAACTAGTTGAAACTAGTTTATACTGAATGTCTTTGTTAAAACCCATTTTGTCTAGTTGAAACTAGTTTATACTGAATGTCTTTGTTAAAACCCATTTTGTCTAGTTAAAACTAGTTTTAACTCAAATTCATTTTTGACTAGCAGTAAATTCTAGTTTTAACTAGACAAAACGGGTTTTAACAAAGATATTCAGTATAAACTAGTTTTAACTAGTTAAAACGCATCCTAACTAAAAACTGGTTTGACTGTAACCCATAGAGTGATTTGGGGTAAGATGGTAAGCGGGGGAAAATGCCTAGTTTTTGATATTTTCAAACGGTGACGTCACATATTGTCATGTATTTGTATGATGAATCGTTGGGCCAATATTGAGTGCGTAAAGCTGTAGTTGGCTACCGTTACTTCATTTTCTACATCCGAGAAGAATAAAAGCTAGATAAGAACCTAGTTNAGGATTAAATTTCAAAAAGTTAAAGGTTAATAAGAACTACATCAATTAACACTCTGTATGGCATAGAGTAATATAATGTATTAGAATAAATTAGTCATTTATTTCATCATACACTTTCTGAATCATTAAAATATATTTTGTGATGATACATATGATTAAATGAACTTTTATTTTTAATTCTAATATCTTTATTTTAGTTCTTAATGCTTTGATTTTATAATTTTGCTGTATATATTAGATGGAAAAAGATGATATTAAAGGTAGATCTTCCCGTCCTTCTTCACCTATTGGACAAAATCGTAATGAAAAAAATGATGATAATCAAGATGATAATGTTACTGAACAGGCTAACCATATTATTATTCCAAGTTATGCTGCATGGTTTGATTATAATAGGTATGTATTTATTATTTTTTAAATTTAAATGCGCTGAAAGCTTGTTACTATGTACAAATTTCTATTTACTTCTTATGTACTGTATATTAGTATATCTTAAAATAATGAGAATCCAAAAAATTAATTAATTAATATAAAAAGAGTGTCAATAATAGAAGTCTTATATTATTGATTACAATATGTAAAAATTTTTTAATTTATATGTATTTTAAAGTTAAAAATTATGAAGAATAAAAAGTATCAGTAAATATTAAGTCATTGTTTTTAGATAAAATTATAATTTATAATGATTAAGGAATAAGAATTAAATTTTTTAAAATTTTGATAAATGAAATAGATAAAAACAGTGATTGAAACAAATAATGATTATAGTGCAGTATTGATTAAAAAAAATTATATGCACGAAAACTTAATTTCTAATCATATTTTTTGTTATATTTTTTATTTAAATTACATTTTTTTCATAAAATTAGCAACAAATATTCCTATTTATTATAATTGTATCAATATCAAATAAATAAATCAAATTATAGGTTTGAATTTTTAATGGATACAGAAATGAACTAATTAGATATAAAAATTTTAAAATTTTATAAGCATTATTTTACAAATTAGTTGTTAATGATTATTAAATAATAATTTCAAAAATTTTTCAGTATTCATGCTATTGAAAGAAGAGGGTTACCAGAATTTTTTAATGCTAAAAATAAATCTAAGACTCCTGAAGTGTAAGTATTCTATTATTTTATTATAGACTGATTGTATAAAAGTTTACATTGTGCAATGAATTTCTAAATTAAGTATTTTTTTTAAATTTCAATGAAAAATGTTTTGATTGTTGATTGAATATGTACATAATCAGTGTTTCAATGTATATTTAATTGTAAATTTGATTAATCACATTTTGACACTGTGCACAATAATATGTGTTCTGTACAGTGCATCCATACAATGCATCTACAGTACAGAAAATAGCAATGCTAAATTCTGATTTTAATATTAAAAAGTTTTGAAAATAAATATAACTTTTTAAATCAGTATAGTGAATTTTTGATTTTAATAATAATTGATAAGTTCTTTATTGTGGATGAAATTATTAATCATATTTATATGTTTGGACAGATAAATAAAATAACTTTTTTGTTTTGAAATATTAACTTATTTTTAGTATTTACAATACATATTTGTTAAAAATATTTAAATTTAAAAATTGATTAGACTAATGTTTTAATTTTAATTGAAGTTAATAAATAGATAGATATAATTTAATCACTTTGTAAAGATAAATATATAATTTATAAACTTTTATACAAATGATTTTTTATAAAAATACTTTTGGCAAACTGTCGTCATGTTAACTTTTATTAGCACCATTTGATTAAGATAACTGTTATTTGATTCAATTTAAGAATCTTACGTGGAGATACTTTCATTTAAAATTGATGACATTTCAAGATGATACCATGCTGAAATCTAATCATATTTTTAAATTTTTGAATTGAAATAACATGACTTTCAGTTTGCATCGGAATTTTGTATACAGTTAATTGGGGCCTTCTGCTTCCAAGGTTTCTATACCTGGTCTCGTCTTTCATCTATCTAACTCTGTTCTCAAGATTAAGGAAAGACAGATGGACAGACAACAGTAGGAATTTATAGGTCTACAATTTTTTCAAATTGCAGCCCAATAATAATCAGGATTCAATTTTTACAAATTAATTTTACTGTTATTTTTAACTCTATAATTCTTTATATTAGGTATAGTATTTCATACAGCAAACAAATATACAATGGTTTAACCATATACAATTTATTATTCAATTTTCTCTTCTACATATGCATTTTGGGCTTATGTAAATGCTCAATCCCTCTTCAGTGCCATATAATTTGTATATGCTTTCATAAAAGGATTACAGGATTATAAAAGGAATACAATACCTGATATAAAAGGATTATAAAGTTAAAACTAATAATAATACAGCTACCCTGTAATTAAGGAAGATGATAATACTATTTTTACTTTATTTTAAACCTGTTCCATTAATTAAAATGCTAGAATTTTAATTTATTTATTTTGAGATTATTTGATTTATCATATGCATATTGAGACACTTTTACACTTATGTATTCTATGTTCAAAGTAATCATCCAAATATATTTAGAATAAAATTTAATATTATTTTATATTTCTTAAGAAATGTGAATTTATTTATAAATTAGAAGTACTTTATATAATTTATAAAATATTTTTAATATCTTATACAATATATCTTAGAGATTATTGATCTTATATAAATATTTTAAATATTTCACTTAAAAATACTTGGTGAGATATAATTTGATTACTGTACTGGCACAAATATAAGGCAACTCCCAATTTTGGGTTCTTTATTTTTTTAATTAACCAGTTCAGTACCAGGTCATTGGTCATCCATGATGCTAGGGTACAATGAACACCTACTCCTGTTGGAATATCTTTGCACAATGTTTTGTGTTTCAATATCATGTAAGGTTAGAGTTTTTTTCAACCCCTGTGATTGGTGACATGATAATTATTCTCAACTTTTCATTTCCTATTATCCATACAGGAACAGATTTAGCACCTCTTTCTTCTGCTGTTATGTTTGCAAGCATATCAAAATAAATAAGGTCTTATCAGCATTCCATTTTATTCCAAAAATTCTTTTTTCGGTAGAAGTTAGTAAAATTGACTGATTCTGTTGAATGTGATAAAAACAATCAGCTTAATTGATTTTTCAAAAATAATTGTTTAATATATCGTTTACAACTATACCAAATTCCCATACTTAGTTTGATGCAGCAGCATGACACATTACAAGTTGGCTAGTGTTTAGCATTCCCAAATAATTGACAAATTAAATTTTAACATCAGTTTAACATTTTCAAAAATTTAAATAAATGTCTGTGGTAAAACAAGTACCATAGAGATTTATTGAAATCGAGGAAAACTTTAATTGGACTTGAATATAAGTGAAGGCATGAATATAGGTTGAGAGAAGTTTCCCATCTGAAATTGGAAATAAATATTGACTTATATTTAAGCTAATATGGTATGTTATTTTATGATATTTGAAACTTATTTGTTTTGAATATCATAAAATTGGCTAGATTTTTTTCCTAAAGTATTAAAATAAATTTTAATATTATTATTTTTAATTTAAATATTTTACAGGTATATTGCATATAGGAATTTCATGATTGATACTTATCGTCTAAATCCCACTGAATATTTGACTGTTACAGCTTGCAGAAGAAATTTAGCAGGAGATGTTTGTGCTATTATGAGGTTAGAATAATTTATTTAATATAAAATAAAATAGTGTTATTTTGAATGAATATTATGTATATATTTCTATTATCTTTTTAATTTTATTTTGTCATTAATTTACCATACAAAATAAAAGTAAAATTTTATATTGTTTTGGTCTTGTGTGACTAAATTTATTAAAATGCCATATTTTTTTTAATATGTAGCGAGTCCTTGCTTAACATCATTTCATATAATATTATTTTATAATGTGGTTGAGAAAAGTTAAAAATACATTTTTAATCATTTACAATTATTATTATTGAATTTTTTTTGTAAACAGTAAAATTGATCCTGTAAGATGAAAAATAAATATGGTGGTTGCAAACTTGATCCAATTAGAATACTAACTGATGATGATAATGATAATAATAATAATAATAGATAATTATATTTTGTTTGTATTATTTAGGCTATGGTAAAATTTGTTTCAGTTTCCAAGAAACTATTGATGACATTAAGTGAAGTCTTGCTGTGTACACATAAATAAATCTCAATTTACAAAGTAGATGCATTTCTCAAGATATACCAAGTTTTTCAAAAATTCAATTTCAGTCAAAAAATTTTAAAAATAATCAAATGTTTGAAAGTATCTTTTATTATTAGTATGGTATGTAAAAGCAGATAGATAAAATGTAATGTTTTTAAAAGTAGTATATTATTCATATTTATTGACGAGACTATGTCTTGTCTCTAAAATTGTGCTGCTGTCAATGGCTGCACATCTTAGAGGTATGAAGTACTGTACATGTCAGGAATTGCAATTTGGCACAAAGTATTTGATGCCCAAATCATGTACACATAAAATAAACCAGACTTGTAAGTAGTCAGGAGACCAAGAACTGGGTCAAAATAAAATACAAAATGCTGAGACTGTTTCTGCAAACAGGTGTGAGTGTGAATTTGCACATGTGTTCTTTGTGCTCTCCGAGACATAGTCTTGCCCCAAGAATGGCTTTGCCATTTTACTTGTATGCTTTTTACAAGCAAATTAACATGAATTACTTTGGTCTTATATGTCAGCTTCATTACAAAAAAATGAAAGTGATAATATAAAAATAATAAATTTTTATTTATTTCAGAAATTTATTTTTATAAACATATAATTTTACCAAAATCCAAATTATTAGCCACAATTCAGCCTAAACTGCTAGATTGTTTTTTGGGCTATATTAAAGCTAATTTTAATTAATTAAATATCTAAATTTGACTTAAAAGTAGATGGCTAAACCACCATCTTAGATAAATATTAATGATTAGATATTAATTTTGAATTTAATTAAGTAATTCAGAAAATTTTGGATAACAAGATTGAGCATGACTTGAACTTGTAATTTCTGTGTCTTATGCACATGTGTTATCAGTTATGCTACCTTAACCTCTGTCTGATTTTCACTTCCAGACATATATATTTATTTATACTATATATTGGGTTGTTCGAAAAGTAAGTTTGTTTTTTTCCATGGGAAAAAAACACAATATTTTTATAATAAATAAATATTTTATTGAATTATATATCTACCATTTTGATCAAATACCTGTTGTCATCATTTCTGGTAGTAGCATGACTTCACATTCATAAAAGTTTTGATCGTTGCTTACAAAAAACTGATCCAAGTGATTTTTGACATTGTCATTTCAAGTAAATGTCTTACAGTTAAAAAAAATTTGTATAGACCAGAACAAGTAATAATCTGAGTGTGCTGAATCTGATAGCATGTCCCATCTAAGTTATAGCAGTTTCTGACGAGTTACCAAACTTGTGTGAAATTTGNACATTTTTAATCATTTACAATTATTATTATTGAATTTTTTTTGTAAACAGTAAAATTGATCCTGTAAGATGAAAAATAAATATGGTGGTTGCAAACTTGATCCAATTAGAATACTAACTGATGATGATAATGATAATAATAATAATAATAATAGATAATTATATTTTGTTTGTATTATTTAGGCTATGGTAAAATTTGTTTCAGTTTCCAAGAAACTATTGATGACATTAAGTGAAGTCTTGCTGTGTACACATAAATAAATCTCAATTTACAAAGTAGATGCATTTCTCAAGATATACCAAGTTTTTCAAAAATTCAATTTCAGTCAAAAAATTTTAAAAATAATCAAATGTTTGAAAGTATCTTTTATTATTAGTATGGTATGTAAAAGCAGATAGATAAAATGTAATGTTTTTAAAAGTAGTATATTATTCATATTTATTGACGAGACTATGTCTTGTCTCTAAAATTGTGCTGCTGTCAATGGCTGCACATCTTAGAGGTATGAAGTACTGTACATGTCAGGAATTGCAATTTGGCACAAAGTATTTGATGCCCAAATCATGTACACATAAAATAAACCAGACTTGTAAGTAGTCAGGAGACCAAGAACTGGGTCAAAATAAAATACAAAATGCTGAGACTGTTTCTGCAAACAGGTGTGAGTGTGAATTTGCACATGTGTTCTTTGTGCTCTCCGAGACATAGTCTTGCCCCAAGAATGGCTTTGCCATTTTACTTGTATGCTTTTTACAAGCAAATTAACATGAATTACTTTGGTCTTATATGTCAGCTTCATTACAAAAAAATGAAAGTGATAATATAAAAATAATAAATTTTTATTTATTTCAGAAATTTATTTTTATAAACATATAATTTTACCAAAATCCAAATTATTAGCCACAATTCAGCCTAAACTGCTAGATTGTTTTTTGGGCTATATTAAAGCTAATTTTAATTAATTAAATATCTAAATTTGACTTAAAAGTAGATGGCTAAACCACCATCTTAGATAAATATTAATGATTAGATATTAATTTTGAATTTAATTAAGTAATTCAGAAAATTTTGGATAACAAGATTGAGCATGACTTGAACTTGTAATTTCTGTGTCTTATGCACATGTGTTATCAGTTATGCTACCTTAACCTCTGTCTGATTTTCACTTCCAGACATATATATTTATTTATACTATATATTGGGTTGTTCGAAAAGTAAGTTTGTTTTTTTCCATGGGAAAAAAACACAATATTTTTATAATAAATAAATATTTTATTGAATTATATATCTACCATTTTGATCAAATACCTGTTGTCATCATTTCTGGTAGTAGCATGACTTCACATTCATAAAAGTTTTGATCGTTGCTTACAAAAAACTGATCCAAGTGATTTTTGACATTGTCATTTCAAGTAAATGTCTTACAGTTAAAAAAAATTTGTATAGACTGGAACAAGTAATAATCTGAGTGTGCTCGATCTGGCGAATATGGTTGGTGTGATAGCACGTCCCATCTAAGTTATAACAGTTTCTGACGAGTTACCAAACTTGTGTGAAATTTGACATTATCGTGGTAAAACACTACACCTGTTTTGTTGATCAATTCTGGCCGCCTTTTCTGTTTGATGATATTACTCAATTTGTTTACTCGATGGCAGTACACTTTCGAATCAATTGTTAAATTGTCTGGTAAAAGCTCCAAAAAAAAATTTCCTTAAAATCCCACCAAAGAGAGCATCTCTCTTTAAGAACATGTGGAACCCATATATCAAGCTTTGAAACGAAACCAATTTGTTTCAAGTAATCATAAACAGTTCAATTTGACAAATTTAATCTCTTAGTGATTTCACGTGTTGTTATTCGGCAGTTTGCTTCAATCAGTACCTTTATTTTGTTTTCATTGGCTTCAACTGGCCATCCAGAACGTGGTGCATCTTCAATATTGAAATTGCCAGAACGAAATTTTGTAAACCAGTTTTGGCACTGTCTCTCTCTCAACACATCATCTTCATACGTGTACCAAAATTTTCTTCTCGTTTGAACAGCATTCTTACCTTTTTGGTAGTAAAAGAGCAAAATATGCCAAAAACGCTGCTTTCGATCTTCCATATTTGATGGGACACAAAAAATAAACAATCGCACAAAATCAAATAAAATTTTTTACAAATAAGCCTGAAAATGCTAGCTGTCAAAATATATAATGATAATACGGTTTAGAATGAAAATGGCGGGAAAAATACGACTAATCCGTCTAGTGGTAAAAAAAATGAACTTGCTTTCCGAACAACCTAATAACTATACTGGTTAAAATTCTTTAATTAAACCTTATTACTTTTTGCGCTTTAAGTTCAGATATAAATAAAATTTTCAAAATTACCATTATTAATATTTTATGACATTATGACAAAAGCATTAATTATTGAAAGAATTAGTAAATCTTGTCAATAATTTCATTATATAGTAAGAAAACTTTTTATTTAACTTTGTCATTCTAATTTCCTTTATATAAGCCCCTCTATAATTATGCAGTCAATATTTCAATAGAGTACATTGTCTAAGGAAATCTAGAAAACACTTAAAATTTTACCTGGCAGCTCTTATCTAAATTGTTAAAAACATTGATTATCAGTCTGAATTTTTTGACCAAGTGAAAACTTTTCTGAAATTTAAATTAATTCATAAAATACTCAAAGGCTTCTAAAGTTTGAAATAAAAATATTTTTGATTTTCAACTAATATTTTGCATAAAGTAATGACACAGTTTGATTTTTTATTTCATTTTTACAAAACAAAAAAAAATCTGTCATTTTGTGTTATATAGATAACACAAGAAATAAATTTTTCAGACATTTGCTTAATTTGAATATGAGTATACTTTATTTTGATTATGAATATGAACCTCATGACAGCCATTTTATAGCCAAAATATCGTAATGGTAAGCTATTTTGTTTTCATAGTAAATACTAACTGACTACACTGAAATTTTTTGTTCTAATAAAAATAGTTTCTCAGCTATTATGGAACTAAATTATAAATATTTTTTGTGCAATTATTGAATCATAAAAGTAATTTTTTTATTTTCTGTGAGAGCATCTTATGAATCTAAAAATGTATTTATTTGAAATACAAAAACTGACGGCTGATACAATAACTAATTCAAATAGAAATTAGATTATAAGTAAAAAATTTGTAGGTAAAGTTTTTAATAGTTTAAATTAAAGTATAAAAATACTAATTTTATTCAGTGTAAATTTATTGAAAATATAGTAGATGATAAGTTCAGAATAAAAGAAATATATATCTTAGTAAGTTTTATATTTCATTCATTAATTACAAATTTGTAAACATATTCAGTTATATTTATTTGATTTGCTTAAGTTTAGATACATTAAATTAAATATATTTACTGATTCCAAAGGTGATATTTGTTTTATTGGATTTAGAAAAATAACTTTATAGCAAATTACTAATATAAAAGATTTAAATGAATAATCTCTCACAGACTCTACATAGTAATACCCTGTAGATAATGTAGATCCTAATCTTTTAATTAGAAATTATTTTCCATATGTAATTGTTAATTTTTGCTTAAATACTTAATAAGATTCTTATTACTATTTTATAATGTTTGTTGTTTGTTGTTTGTTTGTACAAATATGAAATATTTAATTATTTTAAACCATTTCTAGGGTTCATGCTTTTCTGGAACAATGGGGCTTGGTGAATTATCAAGTTGATGCTGATAGTCGACCTACTCCAATGGGACCACCATCCACTTCACATTTTCATGTTTTAGTTGACACACCTTCAGGACTTCAACCACTTAATCCTCCACGTATTCAACAAGTAATTATAATAATTTCTTTTTCAGAAGTGATTAAATTTAAATTTAAATATTTAATAAATTTATATGATGATTTAGAATTATTTGAAATACAATAGTTTTATAATCCATAAATCCTTTTTATTTACAATAAAATAAAATTAAGTCTAAAATGTTAATTCTAATTGTAATTCTAAATTAAATTTAGAATTATAATTAGAATATTTATAAATTTTAATTTTATATTTTATTAATTAATAATACAATTTACTATAATTTATAGCCTTCAGCTGCTCAACAAATGCTGAATTTAGATAAGACTAAAGAATGTGTTGAAAATAAGCCTGATGATCCAGCTTCAAAAGCTCAGTTAGGTGATAATTTTGGTTTACGAATGGATCAATATGCAAAGAAGAATGCATATATGAAAGTAAGTAAATGTTCACAGTTAGAAATTAAGAATGTTTACTAGTTGTCTAGCAGGCAACCAGCTTTTTCATTTCTGATTGTCCAAACTGCAGGGTGCACATATTTTTTTATATAAAATACCAGATAATACTTGCATAAAAAGTAAAAGTTTTTTATTTCTTTCATACCATACAGCCTTTTATTATGTTTACACACAAAAAGAAATCTTGATCATCATTGCCAATCTAAAAGGTGCTTTCAGTAGCTGCCAACTTAGAAAAATGGATTATTAATTCGTATTTGATGTGTTCAAAATTTGTCAAAAAATTTTTTAATGAAGGAAAATATTTAAAACTTCAAACAAAAATATTAAAAGTATAACAAACTATAATTTGTTGCATTGTTAAAACTCATATTAATTAAGAATCACATATTAAAATTCTTTTTAATACATATGCCTATACAAAATTAATGATTAATTGGATATTGAATAAAGTTTATTTTTCAGTACTACATATGAGTAAAATTAAAATGTAAAAGATTGGTGAATTAAATTAAACTAAATAATTCATTAATTAGGTGTTAGCACTCATTAATCATTAAAGTAGAACTGTTATTTATAAAGTGTAGTTTTGCTACGTTAAAAAAAACTTATTCAACTTGGAATGTGAATAAAACAAAAAAAAACTATTTTGGAAAAATTATGAGTTCTGAGAAAAATGAACCTTTATGTATTTTACTTTGTATAAAACCAAACACAAAATTAATTTAATACCACAAACTATGCACCTTAGAGATTCATTTTAAATTCAATAACACATTTTGAAAATATTTTATTTTAGTTTGAATCAAATTTATAATTTAAATTCAATCGAGAGTAAAATTAATGACTGTAAGATAATATAAGTTTTAAAGACTTTTATTTAATGTAACAGCATCTACAGTTCATACAGACGATTATTACTTCTTTAATTGATATTTTTTCTCCGTTTGCCAATTAATACATAAATTGTTTTTTATTTTTCGTATGTCAAGTGCTTGTATTCCATGGCAGCCATATTTGATTTGTTGTCATAATAGTTTGATGTCTCAAATGGACTTTGCTTACTTTGTTGTTATCATTAGTAGTAAAAAAGTATTTATTATTATTTAACAGGATAAAATATGCAGAAAATAGGATAAAATTAAGAAAAACTAATAAAATAAATGAGGTTGCCTGCTGGACAATTTTGGAAATACTGTACATTTGATAGTCCAAAGAGAAATGTTGACATTTAAAGTTTGTTGCTGTAACTGCAATGTTATCTCTTTTAAATTCAATAAAACTTTTTCTGAGAAGCTCAGATTGATCTAATAATTTAACTTTTTAAAAAATAATCAAAAATCATTATGAAAGTTGTTACTAAAACCTACATAATTAAAAATTAGCTCTTGAGCTGATTGGCCTATTATACAAGTTATTCTGCAGCGTGAAGCAATACTTAGAAAAAATGACATTACTTATGACTCAATCCAATGTAATGTTAAAAGATTGTTCTCTTTTTCATTATTCAGTTGTCATTTTCCTTAAAATTATATGAAAATGTAAGAAATGTTTATAATATCAAAGATTGAATTTAATTTAATTTAAATGTGATAACATAGTATATTTTATAAAATTATCATCACAGCTGAAATTTAGTTTGTTTTTGAATATATATGTTTAAGATTAACTTTGTTATAGGAATAATGTAAATCAAAGTGGCAATTAATAGTAGTAATAATAATTTATTTAGAACAAAGCAGCAGCAACTGTTTCAAGAGAATGGACAGAACAAGAAACATTATTATTACTTGAAGCTCTAGAAATGTTTAAAGACGATTGGAATAAAGTATGTGAGCATGTTGGTAGTCGAACACAAGATGAATGTATTCTCCATTTTCTAAGATTACCAATAGAAGATCCTTATTTAGATGATCCATGTGCAGGAGGAGGTGCTTTGGGTATATATTATCACTTCATTATATATGATAATTGAAATATTTAAATTTCATCTATGTTAAATTATCTATAATAGGACCTTTAGCATATCAACCAATTCCATTTTCAAAATCTGGAAATCCAATCATGTCAACTGTAGCATTTTTAGCATCAGTGGTAGACCCAAGAGTTGCAGCAGCTGCAGCAAAAGCTGCAATGGGTGAGTAATTTCTTGTAACTGATGTATGCTTAAAAGAAATATCAAATTAAATTAAAATTTGAATTATCAAGCTTAATCTAAAAAGTGAACGGGTGATTATAAAGTCTCAATCCATTTTTTGTGAAAATAGTAACGAAATCATTTGTTTGCAATTCCTGTGAAGCATGCTGACCCAAGAAAAGATAATTACTGTGATTTGTGTGTGTTTGAATGAATTAACATACATGGAAGTACATCAAATCCTCCTGTTTCATAGCTTTCAAGAGATTGTGACATTGCTTGGTGGGTAACATAATTCTCTTGCTTCTTCATCTTGTGAAACACCTTGACACACTATGCATGTTTTATGAGTTAGTAATGATCTGCCACACTGTTGATTATGGTACAGTGAGCACCCAGTTAAGTCTTCTAGTTGATGATGTGGATTCTGTGTTATTGCAGTTTCTACATGTTGAACCATTTTGTTTGGTATGGTGGGTCTCTAATGTTGTGCATTGTGTTCATTACTTGCCACCTGAATTTGTTAACTAACACTGATATTGGCCCCAGTAGGAGCAGACTTCCTGAATTTCTGGATGTAGTTTGTCTGCTGGTCCATTCATCCACTAAAACATGTGCAAATAACTACAATTCTCTCTTCTTAGAATAGCATGTTCCACACGACCCACATAAAAGTGATTTTGTTATCATTTTCACAAAAATAGATCAGAACTTTATAATCATCTTTTAGATGAATTTCATTTTGCATGATTCTGAACTAATGCAAAAAAATTTCCATAACTAATTTCAAAATTCAAATCTTCATTTACATCATGATAATAAAAAAATTGAAAAGGTTTTTAATTTAAACATTCAAAATTTAAAATGATTACCTCATATACTGTTTTAAACTATTCAAATATTATTAAATATTTACATATTTAATTGTCCTGAAAATATTATAAATAATTATAATGAAAGCATATGAACTTGAATTTTAATATGATTCTTTTTCACTCGTAATTAACATCAGATAATAGTCAATGGTTAAATATATTCTTCTAAATATATAAAATTACTTGTCCTGACTGACTTAGTCACTGATTCATTATCGCCCAGAGCAAACCGCTGAACCTAAAGAGGTGAAATTTGGTACACAGTTAGGGTACATCATGGAAACGCACACTAACAAGGGAACTGTTGGAGTGTCTTCTAATAAATTTTAATAAAATTTAGTTTATAACTACGTTAAAAGTATACAAACTCTATTTTAAATTTGTAGCATTCACTAAAAGTGTTGATCAGAGTTATTAGCAATCAAATGTTGCACTACTTTATAGTAGTTTAGCACAATTACGCAAATTTTTAGAAGTGAAAGGGTCGCGGAGGAAGACGGCGATATTACATTTAGAATAAATTCTGGAATTTTCAAAAATGGGAGAAGAATTAATAAAATTTAGTTAATAATTATGTTAAAAGTATACAAAATTTTATTAATTCTTCAACCATTTTTGAAAATTCCAGAATTTATTCTAAATGTAATATCGCCGTCTTCCTCCGCGACCCTTTCACTTCTAAAAATTTGCGTAATTGTGCTAAACTACTATAAAGTAGTGCAACATTTGATTGCTAATAACTCTGATCAACACTTTTAGTGAATGCTACAAATTTAAAATAGAGTTTGTATACTTTTAATGTAGTTATAAACTAAATTTTATTAAAATTTATTAGAAGAGACTCTGACAGTTCCCTTGTAAGAAGGGATTTTTCTAAATTCCCAAGTGGGGGAGAGGGAAAGCATTAAGGCTTAATCGAAAAAACAGCTTCTACTATACTGTTTTAGATGTAATTTTTTGTTTTTAACTGTGTTTTAGTAGGGTATGCCATGGGGAATGCACACTAAGTAGGGATTTTTCGAAATTCCCCAGCGGGGGGAGCATTAAGGCTTAACCTCAAGAACGACTTTTGAAATTGATTCCATACTTTCCCTTAAATTGATAACATTTCAGACATTGTTCTAAATGTTTTAGTATATTTTGATTTTTTAACCAAATGTTCGAATTGTTTTAAATTCAAATTTGTTATTGCATATTGGTTCGATTATAGAATGATCATAAACGTTCCAGAATATTGATCAAATTGAAAACAGTTTGTTTGATTCTCAGAAATTCTCATTATTCTCAGTGGTAGGTGTTATATAACAATTACTATGGTTGTTGAAATACTGAATATAAATGGGGTTTGCTTGCAAAACCTCCACGNTATAGAATGATCATAAACGTTCCAGAATATTGATCAAATTGAAAACAGTTTGTTTGATTCTCAGAAATTCTCATTATTCTCAGTGGTAGGTGTTATATAACAATTACTATGGTTGTTGAAATACTGAATATAAATGGGGTTTGCTTGCAAAACCTCCACGGGCGAAGTTGTGGGTAAGTACTGTATATCAACCTTTAAATATTTTACATCTTGTATTATGATTTTGTATAAATTTTAAAACCTGTTAAAATGTGTTGTGATAATGAAATGAATTCAATTCCATAAATTTAAAAAGTATCCAACTATTTTTAAATTTTAAGTCTTAAATGTATTTGTGAGCCACCGGGAGGGAGGAGGAGTCCTCTCCTTCCGGCCACCGGTCTCTGACCTACTTTCTTATCAAGGATGATGTTACGATCTGTTACGCGCTCGGTTACGCGTATGCGAGTGGAGGAGTGTCAGAGGGGTCGGCGATAAGACGCGACATAGTCGGATAAAGACACCATGAAAAACAAACAAGAGTTTATTTAACTACTTAATGAACTTAAATTTACAAAACTCTTTCTAATTCGCGTATGAGAGAGAGAGTTTACAATAAAGCGTTCATACCTCTTTCAATTATTTTGGTGGGCTTTTACTTTCTGGAAGGTTGATCGAGTTGAAATACCAGGTCTTCCGATAAATGTTGTATGGTAGGTCAGAGGGAAGCGATGGTCTGTCTTGGCCGTCTGTCGGCAACTTCCTGATCAGTCACTCCCCCGAGAGGGGAAGGAGACGGGCTTTTATACCTTTTTGGTGGGAAAATTTGTCAGGTGACCAATTGTCCTAGCAGGTGTGGGGTTAAAGTTGGTGTTAACATGACAACAATCTGACGAATTTCACCAATACTTATAAACAACACACGGTTTGATTGTGAGAATGTTTATAGTTGAATAGAAAGAGTTAAAATCTTCTCATGTATTTTATATTTTGTTTCTTTAGGGTCGCGTTTCTTAGGTTAAAGGAAATTAACTTTATTAAAAATTTAAAGGGTTAAATGCGTTTATAATTTCGAATTTCACATATTAAAGTATTTCAATATTATTGGGTTGTTTGGAAAGTAAGTTCGGTTTTTTTTTTTTACCACTAGATGGATTAGTCGTATTTTTCCCACCATTTTCATTCTAAACCGTATTATCATTATATATTTTGACAGCTAGCATTTTAAGGCTTATTTGTAAAAAATTTTGTTTGATTTTGTGCGATTGTTTATTTTTTGTGTCCCATCAAATATGGAAGATCGAAAGCAGCGTTTTTGGCATATTTTGCTCTTTTATTACCAAAAAGGTAAGAATGCTGTTCAAACGAGAAGAAAATTTTGGTACACGTATGAAGATGATGTGTTGAGAGAGAGACAGTGCCAAAACTGGTTTACAAAATTTCATTCTGGCAATTTTAATACAGTATTGATGCACCACATTCTGGATGGCCAATTGAAGCCAATGAAAACAAAATAAAGGTACTGATTGAAGCAAACTGCCGAATAACAACACATGAAATCACTAAGAGATTAAATCTGTCAAATTGAACTGCTTATGATTACTTGAAACAAATTGGTTTTGTTTTAAAGCTCGATATATGGGTTCCACATGTTCTTAGAGAGATGCTCTCTTTGGTGGGATTTTAAGGAAATTTTTTTTTGGAGCTTTTACCAGACAATTTAACAATTGATTCGAAAGTGTACTGCCATCGAGTAAACAAATTGAGTAATATCATCAAACAGAAAAGGCGGCCAGAATTGATCAACAAAACAGGTGTAGTGTTTTACCACGATAATGTCAAATTTCACACAAGTTTGGTAACTTGTCAGAAACTGTTATAACTTAGATAGGACGTACTATCACACCAACCATATTCACCAGATGGAGCACATTCAGATTATTACTTGTTCCTGTCTATACAAATTTTTTTTAACTGTAAGACATTTACTTGAAATGACAATGTCAAAAATCACTTGGATCAGTTTTTTGTAAGCAACGATCAAAACTTTTATGAATGTGAAGTCATGCTACTACCAGAAATGATGACAACAGGTATTTGATCAAAATGGTAGATATATAATTCAATAAAATATTTATTTATTATAAAAATATTGTGTTTTTTTTTTTCGTGGGAAAAACAAACTTACTTTCCAAACAACCCAATATTTGAAAAGAATTGCTATAAATAAAAATCTGAAAGTTTATGATAAAATTTCTTTTTTAATTAAAAAATCATTTATTAAATTTATTTTTCAAAAGATTTTTGAAACATAATTATTATCTTAAAAAGAATTATTACATATTAAATAACAAATAACAGTTGTAAAACAGTTTATATTCAATTATAATCAATATTCAAAGAGTAATTCAAATAATTTAAATTTAAAATTATTTTACAGTTGTTTAAAATTTAAGCCATTTTAAAATATTTATATTTAAAAAATACTTAATGTATAATTTTTACAATGCCATTTTATTTAAAAATTATGAAAATTCAAATCTTTTTCACTAAGAATTTTTCAAGATACAGTATAATCATTATCAGATGTCATAGCATATACACTTTCAAAATAAATTGCATTATTTATGTTTATATGCTAGTAGCCTAAGCACCATTTGATGCTCAGGAAAATATAACAGAGATTTAATAAGGTAAAAATTTTGTTATGATTAGATAATGGAGTATAAAATACAATCTGTATAGTTACATCTACATCTAATAATAACACAAGAAGTCTTGTTGAATAATTACAATACTACATGTGAACAGTTTCCTATAGAAATTTCACGGCATAGATAGTAAACTCATTGGAGTGAATTAGCTGTTGCAGCCAAAAACAGAAATGATAAGTAGGAGTAGATTAACTGATGTCTGCTTTTGTTACAGTATAAAAATATAGCTTCTATAAATTTAATTATTATAAAAATTACTTGATTTATTGATAAACAAAACTTTAATTTAAAAACATTTATAAGATATCAACCTTTCTTTGCATTGCTATACCAATGATTTAACCAACTATATGAATTGATAATTTACACATTGATACTTACGATAAATGTACTTAATTCAAACCTAATTATTTTTTTAGATTCTAACCACTCTAAAACATTACTTTAAAAAATTTCCACCACAAATTTCATAAATTTAATAAATTTTTTCATAAATCTGACTCAATTATCAGAATAGTTCACTTCTTGCAATTAATGACAGAATGCTTTGTGGATGGAATTAATGCTCTACTTTTGATGTGATGTGGAAGTATACTTTGTCATTTTTTTCTTAAATGTTATTGACTTATTGTTAGTTTTATAATTTTTCTGAACTGATTAAATCAATGGCAACAAAGAGGAATCATTTGAATTCCTTCAGTGAACTGGAAAATATGAAATAATTTCAATTCTGACAGGTCAAGAGTTAATATCTTTTTTGTTATCAAATATATATTAATCTCTGTATGCTACATTTTAATTGCTTTTTACTTATTTTTAATAATCAATGAAAAAATTTTTTTATTTATACAATATTATTCTATTAATTTGTATTCAGCAGTTTTTCTTGAAATTTTATTTATTAAAAATAGTTTATAATTTATAAATTTTAAACTTTTCATACTTGTAAAAGTATGACGTTTTGAATACAGTATAGTTTACAAAACTGCTTATATTTTAATTAAAATAAAAAAAATTAAACAACAAAAACAAATTCTATGTGCAGTAAACTAGAATGTTGTATAGTAAGTTTCACAACATCTTTCTTTCTTTTTTCTAGCAATTTCTTTAGTGTAATTAATGTTTAACATTAAAGAAATTGCTAGAAAAAAGAAAGATGATGATGTGAAACTTAAGAAAGCAAAAGATAAACACAAAACAAGATTAAAATAAGCTATAAATGCATATATATTACTGTATTTTTAAAAATTATATGAATGTAGTTGNGATTTTAAACAGAATGAGCTGTTATTTATTGTAACATCATCACAATACTGGCTGCAATTTTTAATCGTATTTTTAATTTATTTAATTTAAAATATATGTTCTTCAGCCTCAAATTAGTAGTGTCTTTCCCTTGTACATCATACTTTTCCAGCTGCAATAGAGTCATGCAGATCATCTAATTCCTTTCAGGGGAAATTTTTTAATTGAAATTCCAGTTTGCATCTATTTGCAGAAGTTTGCATCTGTTTGCATCTCCTGATTAACTATATAATTTAGAAATTGTTCTCAATGCTACTAATCAAGTTAAAATAACACGATCTTTCAATGTGGTGATAGCACAGTTTTTTTCAAAATTTTTATTTATGAAAGATAATGTTTATATTTAGTATACAGTACATACTCTATTAAAAGTTACTTGTCCAGAATATAGAATCTAGAAACTTGTAATTAGGATTAAAAGTCATCAAATGGACATCATGTTTGAGAGATTATTTCATATTCTCTGAACAAAATCTTGAATGTGAAATAAGTATAAGAATATATAAATACCTTAATAATTTAATAAAAGTAAACATTTATTGTGTAATTACATCTACAATTAATAATACAGTCTTTCTACAAGGTTTTCAAAGTTTGAATCTAATCCAGAGTCTTCTAATTTGATGGGTTAAAGAATTGTGATTCATTTCCCACTCTTACTTTTTACCACATTGGGATCATACTCTTCTATACTCATTATAATGAGCAAAACCAAGTTGTTAGTTTGCTGGCGCTGATGCAATCAACAAATAAAATCAATATATTTATCATTTAAAATAGGAAAATATAAGAATGGCTTTGATTTTCTATTATTGTGTGTTTGTCTGAATTTCTCCTTTCAAATTTAAGTATCTTTAAGTAGTTTTATGTCTTGAACTATTTTCATTCTTCATTTTACATTTGTCATTTTCAGAAAATTTAATATAATTAAATACAATGGGGGGCGCTTCTGTCTGCCGAAGCTGCTGGCGCGTTTTTTTACTCACCTCAAATACAGGTATAGAACGTATCCTGTCAAATAANGAATTGCAGGAACCGTTGAAAAAGAAGAAGGTAATATTTTTTTACTGTATAATAATATATAATAATGATAACATACAATACAGTAGAGCATCGATTAACCGTCACATCGGTTAACTGACTGTTCTAGTCGGCAAATTTCAAATGTCCGCTAGTGATGTGGCGCTACAATATTTGGCTATGTCTTGGCTACTTTAATATTATTTTTGTTAAATTTTTGCGTATTTTAGCTGGCAACATTGACTCGACCATGAAAGGCAGGCCAGTATTTAAACAAGACTTAATTTTCTAATTATGAGTGGTGGTTTGTTTTGTGAGCAATAAAATAATTTAAAAAATAATTTTTAATGATACAATAGCGACGATTATTATTTTTTAAAAAAATTTTGTTAGGCTTAACATCGATGGAAATTTAACGTGAAGTAGGTTAATGATATACTAATATACTAATTACATGGGATATACTAATATACTATACTAATAATGTAATTTTTTCATTTGTTTCGGTTATCTGATTTTTTCAGTTATCCGACCAACCTGAGTCCCTAATTGAGTCAAATAATCGATGCTCTACTGTAAATTGCTACATTTTATAATGATTATAACAATAATTTACTTGGGAACATAAAGCAATATGAGTATCTCCAAAATGAAAGTACTTATTAAACTGAGAGGCAACTTTTGAAGCAACTAAGAAATTATCTGTATGATGAATAGCCAGTAACTAAGATTAATGTGTTATATCTCTGAGTCAGTAATGCTGTTTATAGTAAAATGTTTTTGCACTAACCAGATAATGGAAAAACTTTTTAATTTGGAAAAAGCTATTTGATTAAATAGATTGAGAAGTTTGAAATCATAGTTGTATTATTATTATTGTTCATATTATTTGCCATTACATTCTAAAATTACAGTTTTTCAAATATGGTGTCTTCAAAAATTCACAAATAAAAATTTTTATAAGTTATGGTGAAATTATTGTTTTGCACTATTTATTAAGTATAGAAATTATTTATTATTTAAAAGATTCTATGTAATAAATAAATAAAAATATCAAGTAAGAAATTTTGTGTTGTTTTCATTCAAATTATTTATAAGTTAATAGATAACTTAGTGCCCAAAGAAGGAAATGACACAGATCACATTATCAGATGAAAATGAATTAAAAAATGATTGCATCAATTATTATTTAAAAAACATATTTATTCTATTAATATAACTTGCATGAAAACAACATAAGTGGTTCTTCATATATTCCCAGCGTTTGAAGAAGATATATTAAGTGAATAATGCACTGCTTGAAAATGGTTTAGAAAATTTATCAAATGATAAAACATTTTAAAAGACATACTATGCATTTTTTACAATAATTGATATATCTACAAATGTGTTTTATTTTAATCAAAATTAATGCACCTGTTTTACAAATTGGATTCTGGATTTTTATCACAAAAAATTATCATTTTGTTCTAAAATTATCTATTCATATAATGAGAGAAAAGATTTTTTAAATTTTGGTCCATTGATAATATGAACATGAGACTGCTATGAAATATCCATTAAATGAAAGCTTTTATAATTACAAATAATTAAATGAAAAATTCAAGAATATCAATAAATTAGCTTGTTTGAATTTTTTATTTGTTGATTTATTATTTTTCAGATTTAATATTCTGTTAAATTGTTCATATTACAACTAGTATTGTTACAATTTATAAGTATTAGAAAATAAAATTATCATAAAATAGCAAATAAATAAATTAATTATAAACTCATTTTTAATTTCACAGTTGAAGAAGGAAGAGAGAAAATAGAAAAAGATACAAAAGATCCCTCGCTGGTTAATTCAGCTCAACAACATTTAGAAGTCAAGGTTGAGAAGAATGTACAGAACGAAAGAGTATGTAATTCTTCATTTTATTTGAACTTTTCATAGTCTACAAATTGAAGATTTCAAAATCACAAAATAAGCAGGTCAAATTATTGAAAATTTTTCAAAAGAGTAGGAAAAAAAGCAATAAAATATTATTTTACTTAATGCAGTATTAAGGAAGTTTGTTTAGCAAATGGCATTAAATTATTAACTTTTTTTGCTAATTTCTTAATAATGATATTTAGTTTTATCATTTGTTATTTTAAAAAATTTCAGCTTTTATCTATAAATCAGGTTGATTTTCTGTTCTAATCATTGTAAACAATCATGGAAAGTAATATTCATTTTTATAATCTTGTTTAAAATTGCTTTCATAAAGATAATTGAAAATCTTTTGTTTTGTATTGATTATAATAGACTAATGTATGTGCTAGCTTGCTTGCATGATATTTGTTAAAATTTTACTAGTACTAAGTAGTTTTCAAATAATGAATTGTTTCATTAAAGTTAAAAATCCATATTCTTTTAATACTCTGTAAGAAAAAAGAAATGAATAGTTATTTTGTCATCTGTTGGAATTAAACCTTTGAAAAAAATACAAGATTTTTTGAAATTTAGATTGATATATTTTTGTAAGCATAACAATTTGATATTTATTTTTATATCCAAGAATTTAATAATTTACATCAAATGAAAAACAGATTTTGTGGGAACAATATGTTATATCTCAGTAAAAAATTACAAATAGAATTCTTGCTAAATGGTTTTGGAATGTAATATCATAACAGAAAGAATATCTTTAATGAAGAAAAGTTGCTTTCAGAAAAGATTTGAGATTTTGAATAATACAGGAAACCCTCGTTAGTTTGAAATTCAAGGGACAAAATGATTGCAATTTCAAACTACCAAGTTTCAAATTATCTGAGATTTCTGTACAATATGCCATATGCCATGTAACTGATGTAATTTATGAAGCAAGCAGAATATGGCTACATATACAGAACAGTATTTTCATTCATTAATAATACAGTAGAGCATCGATTATCCGACTCAATTGGGGACTGGGGTTGGTTGGATAACTGAAAAAACGGATAACCGAAAAATATGAAAAAATACATTATTAGTATAGTATATTAGTATATCCCATGTAATTAGTATATTAGTATATTGCTATTAACCTACTTCACAGTGAATTTTCATCAATGTTAAGCCTAACAAAAATTTTTTAAAATAATAATCGTCACTATTGTGTTGTTAAAAATTAGAAAATTAAGCCTCATTTAAATACTGGCTCCCTTTCATGGTCAAGCCAGTGTTGCCAGCTAAAACATGTAAAAAATAATATTAAAGTAGCCAAGACATAGCCAAATATTGTAATGCCACATCACTAGCGGACATTTGAATTTGTCGACTAGAACGTGGTCGGTTAACCGATGTGACGGTTGATCAGGGGTCAGATAATCGATGCTCTACTGTATAAGTAAACTGCAGATAAACAGTATGTGTCCAGTGAGGACCTCACAGGTTACCAGATAGCTTTTTTAAAAAGTAAAGCAGAATTCTTCAAAATGTAGTCCAAATTATTTTTAGTGAGACAAAAATAGAATGTCACTCAAATGCAGTGCCCTAATGTACACAAAGTCTAGAGCCCTACAAATATGTCAATCTGCTGCTTGTAGCCAAATCTTGCAATCCCAAAACCAGTTGTATTTTATGAGTTAACTACTACTGCTCTGAGAGATCCAGAATCATATTCAAGCAAGCAATGTCAGCAATTTTTCAGAAGATTGTATCAGGTATGATGGACCTTGTGTCTCACTACACAGCTGCCTCCATTGTGGCCTAGCTGAACCAATCCATGATGGCATGAGAAAAGGTCCTCTTAGTGGCCACAGGATGGAAAGAGTTTTAAATTAAAAATGAAAAAAGTTATAGTTATGTTAACATAAATAAATCAATAAATATGCAGGTATTCCTTAAATTATAACAGGATCTCAATTATAAGTCAAGCATAAAGAATAATGGGAATAGGGGTATGGTTCCTAAGATCATTCGTAGGCATTAGGAACCATACCCACCATACAGTATTTCGTTATGATCCACATATGGAAATACTTTATGTTGTAATCAGTTATTGTGCATATGCACTGTAATGCAATACAGCAATGCCATTTATGTTACCATATTTCAAACATGAAGAATGCTTGTTTATTTATTTGGTAAAATACCCATAATGCTATTAAATAAGGAAAAAAAGTATTCTTACATTAGATGACTTCCTCAGTTCCCTGAATAGTCTGAGTAATTTTGTAAGCAACAATTACAATGATGATGATGATGAATTTTATCATCAAAAGGAAGTATAATGCTCAAGTATTTAATAGTAGAAAAAGCAGATTAGTTAATATTTTAAATAAAAATTGCTTTTTTGATTTTAAATGACTATTATGACAAAATCATTATCTTAATTTCAAAAACATCAATTAATAGAAAGTCTTTATTGCAATAATCTAAAAATTATTAAGTTTAAATTATAGAACGTACTTCTAAGATAATTCATTTGAATTTTCTGATTATTTTATATATATAATTTCCAAACTTTTCACATACTTTAACTTAAAATACATTTAATGTTCATTTACTTAAATCTTAGGTTTGCTTTTAGATTTCTCTACTTAAGTGCATTGTATTTATTTTTACATTAGAATAGAGAAATGTGTAGTGTAGTTCTTAATGCATTTATATTTATTGTAAATATTTTAATATTAGCATTTAGAATTAACATAACATCTTAACTTCTTGATTTTTCTAGTCTGAATCAATGGAAATTGAACAAAATCAAGTCAGTAAGCAAGAAGAAAAGGATATGGAACTAGATAACAGAACAGAAGAAAGAACACAGCCACAGCTAAAAACAGAACAGTGTGAAACATTTGAAGAAGGTGAAAAAGAAGAAATGGAAGAACAACAAGAAGCAACACCAAAACCTGAAACTGATCATGATAGATTAATTAAAGATGCTCAATTGTCAACTGCTGCAGCTGCAGCCTTAGGAGCTGCTGCAGTTAAAGCAAAAGTAAGATAAAATAAATTAGTAATGTAAAAAAATAATTATTATACATTTTTTGTAATAAAAAAATATTTAAATTTATTTTTAAGCATCTTGCTGCTGTGGAAGAAAGAAAAATAAAATCACTAGTTGCCCTACTAGTAGAAACACAAATGAAAAAGTTGGAAATTAAATTAAGGCACTTTGAAGAATTAGAAGCAATTATGGATCGTGAACGTGAAACAGTACTATTTGTCTTTTATTAAAATCGTTAATTTAATTTAGGATTACAATTTAAGTGTATTAATTTTTTAAATAATTTGTTTCTAGCTGGAATACCAGAGACAGCAGTTGATTCAGGAACGTCAACAGTTTCATATGGAACAGCTGAGGGCAGCTGAATTCCGAGCTCGTCAACAAGCTCAAGCTTTGTTGCTGGCTCAACAGGGTGGTACAAATGGCATTCCACCACCACATGGAGCTTCACTGGATCAAACTCAAGGAGTGGGTGCCACTGGTGACCCACCAGGCAATCTCCAAGGTCAGTTCCCTGCCCAACCTCGGCCAATGTTTCACCAGACAAGGTATCCTCCCATGGGTGTCCCATCCTACACTCAACCTGCAAGTCAGCCTCCCCCCCATGGGAATTATCCTGTTATCCATCAACAACAACAGTTAATGCCTGGAGCTCCAAATACTATTCCTCACCATCCTACTCCTCAACCTCATGTTGTAATCCATCCTCCCACCTCTATTCCTCGTGCTGGTCTCTATCCAGTACCACCAACCTCTAACTATCCCCCACTCGATGTCGGACAGGGGCCAAGACCCCCTTCTGGCACACAGGCACCACCTAATATGATTGCTGGCAACAACAATCCTGTTCCAGGTATGTAATCATAAAGTTTTTATTTAACTTTTGATATAAAGTAATAAGTTAGTCTGTTACCAATTAATGTTTAAAGTAATAAAAATCATATTTGTATGGAATAGATTTTTATATTTATTTTCATATTTAATTTTGTTTATATTTTGTAATTTATATATATATAATTTTAAAAAATCTATTATGTGAAATTATTCAGTTTTATATTATTGAATAAGTATTAAATATTAAAAGTATTTTTATATGAATGAAATAATAATTTAATTAAATGAAACTATATCATTTATATAATAAATATGAATCATTGCAATTAAAAATTTGATCATAATTTCAATTTTCTATTTTCACACTTCATTATAATCTTGTTTGTTTTTATATTATATACTTTAAACACAAATTGTAAACTAAAGTTGAGTTTAGCATTCTTTATTCTAAAAAATTATACATATATATTTTAATTTTTTTCTAGACTAAAATATTCAGATTATATTCATAATGTTTCCATAATTGTTAAGATTTAAGGAAAATTACAAAAAAATTTATTTTGAGCAATAGGAAACTTTAGACTGAAAAATTTGGTTCCAAATAACAATAGATTAGACAGAACTCTAAGTAATATTATATCAGTATTAAATTATAATAATGTAGCATTTAATAAATATTTTAAAAATTTATCAGCTTATCTGCAAAAGGTTTTATTTTTTTTTTTTACAGTTACAATTATAGTGGTAATTTGATTTTCTTAAACAATTATAGCAATAATTTGATTTTCTTAACAAGTAGTTATCCTTAATGTTATATAACTTATAGTACTGGTAACAAACAACATTTTAAATGTTGAATACCTTAAAAAACATATTATTAATAATAAAAATTAGTCTATCTTTAGACTAGAGATTTTTGATATACAGTGGGTGATCGGTTAACGAACAAATCGGATAACGAACACTTTCGCAAAAGATTTTTATGATCGGACAACGAACACATCTTTGGATAATGAACACTTCACTGAACAAACACAAGAAGAAGTGATGTAAAATAACAAATACTGATCAGTCTTCAGGCAACATTTCGAAACTTTTCGGAGGGCAGGAGACATTGACTTTGACATTCAATCCAGTATATACTGATCGGAGAGTATTTCCTTCGAACTTTGGAACTCTCTCTTGTAATTCTAGCCTTTTATATTTCTGATAGAAACAATTATTTTACGTTTTCTTTTGAAAAAGCGAATTTATGCCAATATCTGCTATTAAAGATCTTTTGAAGAAGTGGGAGGATGTCAGAACAACAGTCTTAAAATGGCATCCAAACCAGGTTGAGGTTAATAGGCTTAGGGATCTCTACAATTACAATGCAATTAATTACTTCTGAAAAAGTAATCGATATTGGACAGATTCTTTAACCCCCACAAACAGAAAAAACATGACAAATAAAAATGCAAGGCCTTGCATATATGTATTTTTATTATTACATATGAATAAACATAGTAAGAAAGTATATATTTTTTATTTTTTGGGAGTCTCCAAAACGAATTAATCAAATTCCCACAGAAACCTATGGTAAATCAATAATTGGTTAACGAACAATTCGGATAGCGAACAAAGTCTTGGAACAGATTATGTTCGTTAACCGATCACCCACTGTAGTTTTAGATTGAATTAAAAATTTTGAAAAAATAAGTGACAATATGTGTTATATATTTCCATTTCTAAACAGAATTTATTAGTTTAATGTTAAGATAATTACCTACAAAATGTAAAATTTGTAATTTCTTATATCAAGAATACAAGAATATTTCTAGAGATTCACTGACAAGATGATATGTTGCTGTGAACTTGTTTAATATCTTATTCTTTGTTATATATAAGAAAAATTCAGGAAAATTATTTTATTTTAAAATAAATGGAGAAATGTAAAGTAAATTATTAATTTAAAAAATTTGATATAAAAATATTATGATCAAATAAATATAATTGAAAGTATAAAATATATCATATACAATTTGCTTGATATTAAATAATGGGAAATTTTTATAACTGAATTTTTGAAATATTTAAAAAGTTTATTTATAATTGTTAAATATTATAATAAACTGCTATAATATTTTATGTAAAATAAATATTTCTTTATTATTTAACATTTATAAGTAACTTTTTTCACATTTGCTTATTAGCCAATTTTTATTAGGTCCGATTTTATTTTTAAAAAGCTACTCATTTTTACATTTAATGTTTTATTAGTTCTAAAATAATTTAATAAAATAGTAATATTTAGATTTTTACCAAATCTACATTAGTTTACTTATTTTTCAACAAATTATAAAATTTAAAATTTACTTGAATGTATGCATTCATGAATTTCATGAATTAGATCTAATTTCATGAAATTAATGTATTCATGAAATTAGATCTAATTAGTTATTAACTAAATTTGTATTAAATTATAATAATGACATTACATAAGAGAAATCCAGAATTGTATGATTTTAATAATTTGGCCAAATTACAAAAGTTTAACTATTTTTAAATTTTAATAAATTAGAAAAAGTTTAGTAAATTTATTAAATTATGGAAGACATTTAGTGGGTTCTCAAGTTATTTGAGGATTGCAATCTAAATAAATAATGCATATTTTAAATTTCATATAATATGAACAAAATTTTTCCATTGCTTAAATGAAAAACTATCAAATATCATAGTTATATTCTGCAAGCATGAATTTAACTCTACTAATACTCTATAGTGATGAATGATGGAATGTGTCATATCAATAAGTAGTTTTAATATATAACATGTGCATGAAATGCAAATGGTTTATATAAACTCAATTTATTAGTTGGAAATGAAGAACTAAATAAATGGCTTTGAACAGATGAAGAGGAACAATTATTATACGTAATTTAAATTTACTTTTGCAGTTGTGTTTAAAAATTTTAGTTTTCAAATTGAAATCATGCTATGAATTAAGAATAAAAACTAGTTAAGGAAAGTTTTGTGTTTACTCATGAATGGCCTTGAAGAATTTAACTATTTTTTAAAGTATATTATAATGAATTTTCTAACAGTATATATTTCCTGAATAATATGATGTATATTAACATTGCCATTAATGACAAGAGTGTAACTATATTGTGCATGTACTTTTGAATTGTGAATGTATTTTGAATGTATTTTTTATGTATTTTGAATGTATGATTTTCTGTTGCATCATTTTAAAACCTCCTGTTTCAAATGCATGGAATTTGAGAACCCACTGTATTATGTAATTCAAAAAATATTAATTTAACTTTTTAAAGAAAATTGAAGATTTTTTAAAATTTTTTATTTATGTAATTATCTGGTTAAAAATTAATTTAATAAAAAGTTGCCTTCAATATTAAACAAAACAAATTTTAATTAAAACAATAAATAAAATACTTTTGCTTAAATTAACTTGATTTCTTCATTTAATAACTTAAAAGATATAGTTTTATTAAAATTTGTTTAACATTGTGATGACTTTATTAACCAGTTTAGAGCAATATGCAGATACATATATAATTTTGCTTGATTTAGAAAATATCAAATTACAAAGCATTCCTTAGTAATATGAATGAATGATTGATTTTAAACAGAATGAGCTGTTATTTATTGTAACATCATCACAATACTGGCTGCAATTTTTAATCGTATTTTTAATTTATTTAATTTAAAATATATGTTCTTCAGCCTCAAATTAGTAGTGTCTTTCCCTTGTACATCATACTTTTCCAGCTGCAATAGAGTCATGCAGATCATCTAATTCCTTTCAGGGGAAATTTTTTAATTGAAATTCCAGTTTGCATCTATTTGCAGAAGTTTGCATCTGTTTGCATCTCCTGATTAACTATATAATTTAGAAATTGTTCTCAATGCTACTAATCAAGTTAAAATAACACGATCTTTCAATGTGGTGATAGCACAGTTTTTTTCAAAATTTTTATTTATGAAAGATAATGTTTATATTTAATATACAGTACATACTCTATTAAAAGTTACTTGTCCAGAATATAGAATCTAGAAACTTGTAATTAGGATTAAAAGTCATCAAATGGACATCATGTTTGAGAGATTATTTCATATTCTCTGAACAAAATCTTGAATGTGAAATAAGTATAAGAATATATAAATACCTTAATAATTTAATAAAAGTAAACATTTATTGTGTAATTACATCTACAATTAATAATACAGTCTTTCTACAAGGTTTTCAAAGTTTGAATCTAATCCAGAGTCTTCTAATTTGATGGGTTAAAGAATTGTGATTCATTTCCCACTCTTACTTTTTACCACATTGGGATCATACTCTTCTATACTCATTATAATGAGCAAAACCAAGTTGTTAGTTTGCTGGCGCTGATGCAATCAACAAATAAAATCAATATATTTATCATTTAAAATAGGAAAATATAAGAATGGCTTTGATTTTCTATTATTGTGTGTTTGTCTGAATTTCTCCTTTCAAATTTAAGTATCTTTAAGTAGTTTTATGTCTTGAACTATTTACATTCTTCATTTTACATTTGTCATTTTCAGAAAATTTAATATAATTAAATACAATTATTTATTCATTTGCATTTATTTGTGACAGTAATTGAATTTATCTAAAATATTTTTAAAATTATTTTCTTTGAAATAACAAAGATGATATAAAATGTAAATATCTGTTTTATTCTTCATACAGTTGTTATTGTTTTATAATTTAGATATAGTTTAAATTAAAAGAAATTAAACATTGAAATATCAAATGTTTCCTTATTAGACTTGAGTTGCAGTTTTTAAAATAAAGAAATGGATTCTTGCAGGTAAAATAATCTTTTCCAAATTTTTTTCAACTAGGGACTGATAGTTTTCAGTAGTTTTTCTTGAAGCCAGTATCAAATGTTTAAATATAACAACAAATAATTTTAAAATTTTAATTGCAACTAATTCTATCATACAACATTCATAATTGCTGTACAGTGGGTGATTAGTTAACAAACG